GATATTGACAGTAGGGTGCACAGAAGATTCAAGGGCCAGATCTTGATGCCCAACATTGGTTATGGGAGCAACAAGAAAACAAAACACATGCTGCCCAGTGGCTTTCGTAAGTTTCTGGTCCACAATGTCAAGGAGCTTGAAGTGCTGCTGATGTGCAACAAATCTTACTGTGCTGAGACTGCTCACAACGTCTCCTCAAAGAATCGCAAAGCCATTGTGGAAAGAGCAGCCCAGCTGGCCATCAGAGTCACCAACCCCAATGCCAGGCTGCGCAGTGAAGAAAATGAATAGACAGATTGTGTACACATTGTATTTGTGGTAATAAAACCATAAAATTCTGCCAAAAATAAATAAATAAATAAATAAATAAAAAAACTCTGCTTCAATCCCTGGCCAGCTTGGCTCAGCGGTTGGCGCGTTGGCCTGTGGACTAGAGAGTCCTGGGTTCGGTTCCCGCTAGGGGCACATACTAAAAAACAAAAACAAAAAAACTCTGCTTGCTCCAAGTTGCTGAGACATGCACCTGGCTGTGCTATCACACTGTCATTTCCATCAGCCTATTTTCTTGACTCTCTGTCCTCTGTTCCATTTATAATCATCAGAGTCCCCAGGGCTTGGTCTTTGGCTCTTATCATATATCTTATTTCATCAATTCCAAGATGCACATATTCCCTGTCCTCTACCCCCATTTAATATTTCAGAATCAGGATGCACCTTACCATCAATGTGCCTTAAAATCATGTTTGGCAGATGAGGGTTGTGAGATATTTGTTTTTTGTTTGTTTTTCTTTATTGATTTTGTAGAGGGAGGAATGGAGAGGGAGAGAGAGATAGAAACATTGATGAGGGAGAACATCGATTGGGCCTCCTGCATATCCCTGGCCTATAACCAGAGCATGTGCTCTGACCTGGGAATCAAACTAGTGACCTCTTGGTGCATAAGTCAACACTCAATCACTGAGCCACACTGGCCAGGCGGGTTGTGAGATATTTGTATTATCTACATTGTACCAAAATTGCAGAATAGGTGTCAGCAGCTTGGAAGAAAATCTAGAAATAATACTGGTGTACTCTTTTACTTCTGAGAACCAAATGATTGTGGGGACAAAGGGTATCAGAGTTGACTCCAATGCCGAAAGTATATGATATGGCCTAGCCTAAATGTTTGTGTCCCCCTTCACCCCGAATTCATGTTGAAATCCTGACCCCCCAATGTGATGGTATTTAGAGGGGGAGCTTTTGAGAGGTAATTAGGTTGAGATGAGATCATGAAAATGGGACCTTCATGATCAGGATTAATGCCCTTTTAAGAAGAAGACAGAGGCCCTGGCCGGTTTGGCTCAGCGGTTAGAGCATCCACCTGCAGTCCGGAGAGGCCTGGGTTCGGTTCCCGCTAAGGGCATGTACCTCGGTTGCAGTTTGTCCCCGGCCCTGGTTGGTCATATGGGTGGCAGCCACTCGATATGTCCCTTTCACGTCAATGTTTCTCTCTCTCTTCCTCTCTCTCCCTCCCACTCTATCTGAACAAAAAATGGAAAAATGTCCTCCGGTGAGGATAAAAAAAAGAAGACAGAGAGATCTCTCTCCACGAGAAAAGGCCATGTGAGGACACAGCAAAAAGGCAGATGTCTACAAGACAGGAACCAAATCTGCTGGCACCTTGATCTTGGACTTCCCAGCCTCCAGAACTGTGAGAACTAAATGTCTGTTGCTGAAGCCTCCTAGTCCATGGTATGTTGTTACAACAGTCTGAGCTGACTAACACAATATGCTAACACCAAAGCTGAACATAGTCTATGATCCATCATTTCCAATCTATACACCAAAAAACACGTACAAGAGTGTTCACAACAGCATTAATTGTAATAGCCCCAAACTGGAAACATCTCAAACACCCACAACAGCAGAATGGATTAAACAACAATGAAAGGAACAAACTATTGCTACACAACAACATGAATCAATCTCAAAAACTTAATATTGAATAGAAGAAAACAGTTTTAAAAGAGGACATCTTGTATGATTCCATCTATATAATGTTACATAAACAGACACATTATGGGGCTACAAGTCAGGAGAGTGGTTACCTTTACATGATAGTGACAAGGAGGGGCATGAGGTGGCTACTGGGGTGCTAGTAATGTTCCTTTTCTTCACCTTGGTAGTGGTTACATAGGTTTGTTTACTTTGTAAAAATTAATTGAACGACTCAAGATTTGTACCTTCCTTTGTGTGTATAATTCAATAAAAATTTTTAAATGAAAACTATTGGTGTTAATAAGTAGGCTAGTTCTATATAATCGGAAAGCAGTTTATAAGCCCAGCATCAATGGCTTTCTTTTAGGATTACTTTAAGAAATGCTGCGTCACTGAACAGTAGATACTCTATATGCTCAGAACCAGCGACCGGTTATATAGTGATTCTCTTACAGACGGGAACCAAGGAGTGGAAGTGGGGAGGTGCAACCACTTGCCATCTCAACTAATGACTCTTGCAAAATGTTTCCTGTGCCTGCAACTCTGGCTCTGGCTGATTTAGAGCCTTTAAGGACCAAAGGAAGTTATGCTTTCACCAGGGGGCACAATATGATTTCTCTAAATTAGGAGCTGAGACGGCCAACGGGTCATTTTGCATTCGACATCCTCTGAGCAAGAAAGTAAAAAGGGAGTTCCACTATTGGCTGAGGTGACTGATACTAATTGATAAGGGTTAACAGGATTACTCAGTGGGGACAGATAGAAATAGAAATGAAACCTAAAGGATCTTCTTAATATACATTCAGGCAGTTAATTGGAGACAGGCTCCTGATTAGGTATTTAATTCCAATACTCCCACTGAAGACAAACAAAAAATTAGAGAAAGTGAAAAAAAATATCTTACAAGCATTGAAAAGCTAATAGCCCTAGCTTGTGTGGCTCAGTGGTTAGAGAGTTGGCCAGAGCACCGAAGGGTTCAATTCCTGGTCAAGGGCATGTACCTGGGTTGCAGGTTTGATTCCTCCCCACCACCACCGGACGCATTCAGGAGGCAACCAATTGATGACACATCCATGTTTCTCTCTCCCCCTTCCTCCCTCCCTTCCACTCTCTAAAAAAAAAAAAAAAAAAAAAAGCCCTGGCAGATTTGGCTCAGCAGTTAGAGCGTCGGCCCTAGGACCAATGGGTCACGGGTTTGATTTCCGTCAAGAGCACATACCTCGCTTGCAGTTCATCCCCGGCCTTGGTCAGGGTCCTAAGGGAGGCAACTGGTAGATGTTTCTCTCTCCCTCCCTCCTTCTGAAGATAAACAGAAAAATATCCTCGGGTGAGGATTAAACAAAAGAAAAAAAAAAAAGCCCTGGCTGTTTTGGCTCAGTAGTTAGAGTATCAGCTGGAAGACAGAAGGGTCTCGGGTTCAATTTTTGGTCAATGGCGGGTACCTGGGTTCCAGGTTTGATCTCCAGGCCCTGTTGGGGAGCAGGCAGGAGGCAACCAATTGATGTGTCTTTGTTTGTCGTGCTCTCTCCCCTGCCTTCCCTCCCTTTCACTCTAAAAATCAATGGAAAGCCCTGGCCAGTTTGGCTAAGCGGTTAGAGCGTCGGCCCACAGACCAATGAGTCGCAGGTTTGATTCCAGCCAAGGGCACGTACCAAGGGCATGCACCACAGCCATGGGTTGTGGTTCATCCCAGGCCCTGGTTGGGGTTGTGTGGGAGGCAACCAGTCAATGTGCCCCTCTCATGTCGATGTTTCTCTCTCTCTCCCTTTCTCCATCTCCCTCCCACTCTATCTGCAGATAAATGGAAATGTACCCTTGAGTGAGGATTAAAAAATAAAAATAAAATAAAAATCAATGGGAGGAAAAGAAATGCTAATAATACAGTGAAGACTCATTGGGCCAACATTTAGGAGGCTTAAACCCAGAGAGGTAAGCCCAGAATTCAAAGCAATTTTTGTTCAGGAGACATTTACTGATCTGGAAGATGTAACTGTGAGACTGAGCTGTTGTTTGGCAGTCTTCGGTGGGAGGGCCAAAAATCAAAACCCAGAGCCTACCAAGGTAGGAAGTCAGATACCTCACCACCAACACACACACTTTAAGATGGGACCCCTACTGCTATTGGACATGAAGCCTAGAATCATATTACCTGGTTGGTCCAGAGAAGCTCAAGTCTTGAATTTGGATTGAACTTGGACCCATCCTTATAATGCCCCTAGTCACCAGGCAGAAGCAAGCATATTTGGTACCAAGCAATATCCTTTCTGAAAGAATGTACTGTCATGCAAGGCTTCAAATTGTTTCTGAAGACATTCTTTCAGGTATGATATTCAGTCCAGTCAAGGATAATCAGGCAAAGAAATAAGAAACCCTGCACAAGAACTGGACAAACAACAGAAAACATAAATCGACCCACGAAGATTTAAGATACTGGAATTCTCTGATAATGGCTATAAAACAACACTGCTTACTGTGTTTAAAGAGGGTAAAATAGCTGCAGGGAACAGGCACCTATTAATAAGTGCCCTAGGTTTGGCTCAGAATCACATGTGATCACCTTAATGTGCCCGGACAACACCCTTGCTCAGGCATTTTTTCTGATCACGTTGTTTTTTCGTAGTGTTCAACACTATTGGAAATCATTTTATTTGCTTACAAATTTACTATCTTTCTCCTGGAATGTAAGCTTAGGGAGAGCAGGAATCATGTCTGTCTTGTGTCCCCAGCACTTATTGCATGCCAAGTACACTGTAGGTACTCAATAAACAGCGCTGATGAGATGAGTCTGCTGACCAGCACTGTCCGATCCCTCCCAGCCCCATGTCCTCAGAATCAGGTAAAATCTTCCAAAGGGCAGGACCTGCCCTGCACAAAGCCAGGAGCTGCAGTCTCCCGCAGGGTCAGCCCAAGTTGCAGAGACTGGCCTGTCTTCAGTGACAAGGGTACGGGGAGCACAACTACGAGCAGCAGCAAGTTTTATTGCGACCAGAACCCCTGGTCATGTGAAAGGGGGTGGGGTAGAGGGACATCCAGTCACTGATGCCATGCTCCCAGTCCAGGACATGACACCAAAGGTCTGGCTGGCTCTGCTCTGCCTCTTCCCTGCCCCCCAGTCAGGGCATCCGAGGGGGCTGAGGCAGAAGGAAGGTGGAAAGGGAGTCCATTTCAGCGGAGCCTTCACCCGAAGGGTCTGAGGGAAGGAGGGGCAGTTGCAGTGGGGCCCAGGTGGCCCAACATACTCAGGGCCCTTGTCCACTGGGAGAGGGTGGGAGGGAGGAAAACAAAGGCTCAAAGTGAAGAATCTCTGGCCAGAGACCACACAAGCAGGACTTGGGATCCGGTCTTCTAGGCCAGGGCCATGTCCACCCCTGCTTCCCCACATTCACTCCAGCCTGGGCATCCAGCCTGGCTCGCCTTGGGTCCTATGTGGGGATCTGCATGTGGCCCAGGTCCTGGTCCATGATCTGGAGCACGTCGTCCAGGATGGAAGGCCCCAGGTCCACGTGCAGGGAGAGCAGGGAGCTGGCGTGGGACAGGAAGGGCTCCTCAGCCCCTGACTCAGGGGTCAGCCCATTTTGGGCTGAGCCAGCCTCTGGAATTCTCCAGATGTCCACACTCCCTGCCTCCTGCGGGGAAGGCTGTGGGGAGGGCTGAGGGGTCTCAAGGTGCAAGCGAGGGGGTTTGGGTGGGGCCTGGGTTGTGGGCAGGGTGAGGGCCTGGGGCCCGCCGATGACTGGGAGGGAGATGGCGTTCTTGAGCAGAGGGGACGGCCCTTCGGGGAGCTCCCGCCCACACAGCGTGGTGGTTCGGGTGAACTGAAAGGGGAGGTTAAAGGTGCCATCCTCCTCAGGTCCCTCGACTGCCGTCCCTGGAAGAAGGTGGAACTTGCCCTGCAGGAAGGAGATGTCACCGAACATGTCACTGCCGCCGCCACTGCCGATATGAATGGTATGGCGGAAGTCCCCCAACGGTGGGCTGATCATGTCTGAGGACAGCAGGTCCCGAAGCTTCTCCTTCTTGCCCTTGCGGCTGCCACGCTTCAGATAGATGGGCGCCTTGGTGGACATAGTGACCTCACCACCCAGGCCTGGCTGCTGAGGCTAGAGACGGTCCACTCGCCGAGACCACAGCCTCCTGCTGCCTTTGTCACCACGGAACCAGAAACACCCAGAGGGTGGTTTTCAGACACCAAAACCTTGTCAAAGGGCTAAGAGTAGGGTACGGGGTGTGATCAAAGTTGGCCCAAGGAATTAGAAAAAAAAAAGATTAATGACTGATGAAGTCAGAGGTTGAGATAACAAAAACCACTTTCTCCCAAAAGGGTTGAAAACTCCTGAAATTGGCAGCAGAAAGGTGGCGATCTTGTAGGCAGCAATGCTCCCTGGTCTTGTCCTTGCGAGTGTCCCCCTGTCCGGGGCTGAGGAGCTGAAACACCAAGGGTACAAGTCAGGGACAGAAGGACACAAGTCAGAGGTATCCGTTTCACTTCTGGGCCCCCGGTGCCGGCCCTGGGGGCCCAAGTGCAGGGGCCCTGCTCGAAGAAGCAAGTGCTTGCTCACAGACTTGCTACACTTTAGGGCCTGGATCACCAGCGCCAAGCCCCCCCCCCCTTTTAAATATGTTTTTATTGATTTTTTAGAGAGAGAGGAGAGGAGAGAGAAAGAGAAACAAACATCCATGTGAGCCCAGCCGGTGTGGCTCAGTGGTTGAGCAATGACCCATGTGCTAAGAGGTCACTGGTTTGATTCTCGGTCAGGGCACATGCCCAGGTTGTGGGCCCAATCCCCAGTGGGGGGCATGCAGGAGGTAGCCAGTCAATGTTCTATCTCATTGATGCTTCTATCTCTCTCTTCCTCTCCCTTCCTCTCTGTCTCAAATCAATAAAGAAAAAATATTTTTTAAAAAAGGAACATCCATGTGAGAAATATCGATGTGAGAAACACCAATCGGTGATCAGCTCGCTGCCTCCTGCATCCCCACTGGGGATAAAGCCTGAAACCTGGGCATGTGCCCTGACCAGGAATTGAACCGGTGACCTGGTGCATGGGTCAATGCTCAATCCACTGAGCCACACCGACCAAGCCAAGCCCCTCTTATAAGAGGGTAAACTGCGGTGCAAGAACCTGAGTGACAGGCCTGAAGTACCATACAAAGTCCTGGCTCTGGTCTCTTGCCCTGGGTCCCTGGCTCCACTCACCACCATCACCGGGGCAGTTACCCCCTATTGCACATCAGTGGGGCCCCAAGAAATGGCAAGTGCCAAACTGCCTGGGAATCTCATAGATTGGTCTCAGTTCCCTACCTGACAGAGGACGGAAATCTGAAACCTTTATCTCACCCACCCAGGCCTGGCACAGGGCTGAACACACAATAGGTGTGTAGACCCTGGCCACTTTTGCTTAGTGGTTAGAGTATCGGCTCACGAACCAAAGAGTGGCGGGTTCGATTCCGGTCAAGGACACGTACCTCGGTTGTGGTTCAGTCCCTGGCCCTGGTCTGGGTCATGCAGGAGGCAACCAGTCGATGTACCTCTCTCACATCAATGTTTGTCTCTCCACCCCCCCCCCACTCTATCTGAAGGTAAATGAAAAATATCCTCAGGTGAGGATTAAAAATATAGAGAGATGTGTTCAGCTGGCAGAGCCATGTGACTGACACCTCTCCCCCACCAATATGACCCAATCACATTCCACCTGGAAGTGAGGTTACCTCAGAGTTTCTCTTTTCTACTACTCCTGGATAGGAGTTCCTTACGGGCAGGGCCTAAGTCTACTGTAGTTTCTATCCCCCTCCTTGCCCTAGCACCTAAGGGGAAGATGGATGGAGAAGCGACACATTTTTGGGAGGGATGCTCTGTTCTGTGTCTGGCATTTTGCTGAGGTCTTTGCATATCATTTGGTTATCACAACCACCCTCCTATCATCCTCTTTTAACAACTGGAACTATAAGACATTGGAGGAATTCCCACAAGGCATTGCAGAGGAAGAGAAGCAAAATGCAAAAACGGAGTATAGAAGATTCCATTTATTGGAAGCCTGAGCAGCTCCCCTCCCGCTCCCCACATATGCATGTAGGTGTACCTACATTTACAGGTCTGCGTGGGATTATATGTGATGTAAGAACAGAGAAGAATGTGGAGGGCCAGCACTAGGATGTCATATGGGCTACTGAGGCTGAGATGGGGGGCAGGAATGGGATAGGGGGTCAGTGACGTGGGAGGAAAGGTGTCCTCAATAAAAATGATCTAATACTTGGTCCTGTTACTATAAAATGAAGTATGTAAATATGAAGGGACGGTCGTCAAAATGTTGGCCTTCTTGAGGTGGTAAAACTTCTGGTGACTCTGCCTGTTCATACTCTTATACACTCAAGTTCTTAATAAGCATATTATTTATGTGCACATATGATTTATGAAATCAGAAAAAATAAAGCTATTTTTAATGTGAAAAAAACACACTCCGAAGGGGAGGGGCGTCCTACTGGACTGACAGCAAAAGGAAGCCTTGCGAGCACTCGCTCTAGTTCCCACGGGGAGGACTGGCCCCGACAGATGTGGACTCAGACCACCAAAAGTCAAAGAAAGGAATATGTCCAAGGTCACCCTGCGGGTACACATGAGCCCACCATCTCGCACTGCCCTGTCCCCAGGCTGAGCAGGTGGGAAATCAGCCAGGGAGGGGCTGAGCAGAGGCAGGGCAGCCTCTGCCAGCTCTGCCCCATTATCCTGGGCAGGGTGAGGGGAGGATGGGCGGCTGGCTGGAGGAAGGAGGATGCACAAGTGGCAGAATCCCAACTGTCTTCACCCCCTCAGCCCAGGCTCTCACTTAGGAAACCCCACCCCAGCACCGGACACAAGCTGGTCAATCATGCTGAGCCACAGAGACCGGACATCTTGCCCCTCCCAGAGCACCTGCAGCTTAACAGGAAACAAAGGAATGACTCTCCAGCGGTGGAATTCCAGCTAAGCTTGGAAGGAGCTGGGGGGAGGGTGGGCGAGGCAGTGGGTTCCTCAAGGTCTTGGAGTCCCATTGCTCATTCATCTAACAGATGCCCACCATTCCAGGCCTGGGGGGGAGGGGGGACATGATGACACACATCCTATCTGTCCCCTTGGCAGGCAAGAAGTCCTGGGGCGGTTTTTCCTTCCTTTTTACTCATGGAGAATGGGGCTGACTGATGGGATTGCTCAGAGCCTGGGCCAAGCCCCTCACCCCACCAGCCATTACACAGGGGTGCCAAGACAGCCTGAGTGTTTCCACAACAAACTGGGTGTCCCTGACAGCTGTCTCACTCAGAGCTAGATATACCACCCAATTCCAGATGTGGGGAGAACTGAGGCTATCGAGGAAGGGTTGGGCCAGTGTCAACCACCCAGGGAGAGCTGGAAATTGCAACCATCAAGCCCCAGGAATTCGAATTTAGCAACCACAAGACCTCAGGCTCCAGCTGCCCTTGCACAGCTTCCATGTTAATGCTCCCAGGCACAGCAGGGGTGGGTATCATTAGTGCCTTTTACAGAGGCAGAAGCTGAACCTCGGAGACATTAAATAACTTTGCTGAGGTCACCCAGATAGTTGAAGAAGGGGGGGGGGGGGCACTGGTACCCGGCCACTCTGGGCGTCCCTCAGAGAAAATGACCTCATATCACAAGGAACACTAGACCACTCCCTACCAGTGGTGTTCTAAGAGCAGCCTGACCTAAAATCAGGAGACCAACCTTGAATCTATCTCCACTTGGGACTCGCTCTGATCTTGGGAAAGACACCATTCCTCTCTGGGCCTCACCTTCCTCATCCATAAAATGGGCCGACCATAAAGCCATCACCAGAGGGCCACTGGAGACCCTACTGCTATACTGCAATTGAGAGCAGCAATGTGCTCTGTAGCTGTCAGCTCGGCCTTTTATTTTCTTTTTTTTTTTTGGCCTTTTATTTTCTATTCAAGCACTTTGGTGGTCTGGACACAGTGCTCCCAACAAGACCAATTACCAACGGCCCCTGGCCCCGGGCGTCCACCTCCTCTCGCCCGCCCGGCACAGCCTGCCTGCGCAGAATCCCCCTGGCTGGCCTCGGTAGTTTCCTGGGGTCCCAGGGCGGAGAGGCGTTCGAACCCGAGGACGCTAGGTGGCGCGCTCGCCCGCTCGCTCTATCGCCCCGAGTCTCAGAGGAATCCAGGCGCGCGCCGGGGTCTCCAGCGCGCCTCCGGCTCCAGGCAGGCGCCCCCAAGGAGCGGCACATTCGGTACCCAGATGCGGATTGTCTACGGGATCTTCTCTTCGGGAGGCGGGGAGGGGCTCTGTCTCACAACCAGACAATCACTGGGGGAAAGGGGCGATCGGGGACCCTGCCTAGGTCTCCAAGATCTGGGAGGAGCCTCCCCCGTGCTTTCCGGCCTGGGCGATGTCCGAGTGTCCGTTCGGCGCAGAGCCAGAGCTCCAGTGTGTGGGCCCCCGCCCCTGGATCCCGCGGGTCCCACTCCTCAGCCCCAGCTCAGGTTCCCGCGCCGACCCCTCCCTGCCCTCTACGGGACCGCAGCCCAGCCCAGCCCAGATCCGTTTCAGGACGCTCGCGGCCGTGGCTAAAGATAGGAGGACACCTCACCATCCGCTAAAAATACGACCCCTTGCCCGGGCGGGGACCCAGGGCGGCAGGAAGGCGCTCCTAGGTCCGGGGGGTGGGGTGGGGCTCTGGCGTAGGATGGAGGGCGACACCGGGAGTTCGGGTTCGATATGCGCGGCGCCTCGCAGGCTGGGAGGGCTCGGGTGTGGCCGCCGAGACCCAGGCGCGGGCGGGAAACACCGTGGAGCCCAAGGCTCCGGGGAAAGGACCTGCGCGGAGGTGAGATGGGGACCCGGGTGCGAGCTGTGAAGGAGCCCCACAGGGATGGGCCTCCCGGGGAACCCCTGGGAACCGCGGACAGGTGGCAGAATCTCATGTGGACTCACCTTTACTGCGCAGGCAGCGGACCCACGGGTGGCAAAAGCTCCGGAGCTGGATCCCGCCGCAACGGGAGCCGATTCGGGCTGTGAACTTACTGTGCAGACCTTAGCCGCTAAACCCCGCCCCCGGCCCGCGGAACCAATGCCTGGTCTGCCCCAGACAGACCCCGCCCACATCCCCGCCCCACTCCGCGGGATCCGGCCTCCGCTCGCTCTGCCAGAGCTCAGCGTTGGGGACCAGAAGCAGAAGCGGTCTGGGGTTCCAGTCCAAGTTCGGGCGGCTGCTAGCCAGGCGGCATCGGGTGCCCAGGCTGGACTCCGTGGACTCTGGCTGTGCCCGTCGGAGCCCAAATTTTCGGTTTTAGAAAGGCTGAGGGGGCAGCAGCCGAAAGGGTTAATTCTTCAGAATTCACAGAGCGTCCTTGGACCCGTTCCTTCCCTGGAGGACTGGGTCAGGGAGGAGCCTGTACAGTGTATTCAGTGACTACTAAGGGAATGAATGAGGGCTTGAAGGCGCCTACGTTAAAATATTACAAACTTTCTAGAGCTTTCGGGAGTTTACTGCCCCCTAGAAAAAAATTACATTGAAGGTGTGCAGGTGGTGTGGACTGGGCCCATATTTGGCGTCAGGCTAGGTGGCTTCTAGGGAGGGTTGTAACTTAGACTCGTTACAACGTTGGTTCTTCATTCATTCATTCATTCATTCATTCATTCATACAGTACTAGAAACATTTATTGAAAGGCAGGCCCTACCCAGACTACTAGAAATAGATTGAAAGAAACTATGCCCTTGCTCCATTTAGCTATTCCACAAATACTTGTTGAGCTTCCCTAAGTTCTTGTCGCTGGGGATTCAGCCCCTTCTCCATGGGGACCTACAGTCCAGTGAAAGGAGGTGAAGGGAACCCAAGTCCCCAAGTACACCTTGATACCTGTTCTGGTGGGCAAGTGCTGAGAAGAGTGGGGCAAAGGAAGACTAGAGAGTAATGGAGTGAGGGGACCCTGCTTCTGGAGGGTAACAATGGTGACAGTACAATGTGACCAGGATGGTAAAAGTTTCCATACTGTAAATGTAGGAGGCACTGTTAGGGAGGTAGAATCAGGAAAACAAAATGTCCTGAAGTAGAGAAGGATGCTGGAGAAGGAGGTGGGAGGTCAGGAGGGAGGAAAGGATGGGGAAAAGTGGTAGGCAGAATAATGCCCCCCTCCCAAGATGTCCATATCCTAGTCTCCCGGACCTGTGAATATGTTCTGTTACATGGCAAAGAATAATTAAGGTTGCCAATGAAATTACAGTTGCTAACCAACTGACTAAAATAAACCGATTGTCCTGAATTATTTAGGTGAGCTTGGTGTAATGTCAAGGGTCCTTAAAAGGGGGAGAGGGCCCTGGACGGTTTGGCTCAGCGGTTGGAGCATTGGCCTGCAGACCAGAGAGTCCCAGGTTCAGTTCCCACTAGGGGCACGTACCAAAAAATAAAAAAGGGGGGAGGAGGGAGACAGAAAAGGAGAAGTCAAGAAAGAGCTGTGTCGCCCTGGACAGTTTGGCTCAGTGGTTGGAGCCTCGGCCTGAGGACCAGAGAGTCCCGGGTTCGGTTCCACTAGGGGCACGTACCAAAAAAAAAAAAAAAAAAGAAAGCTGTGACAATGGATGATGGGCCAGAGAAATGCTGTTGTTGCCTTTGAGGGAGGAAGAAGGGGCTACAAAGAAAGGAATGTTGGCAGCCTCTAGAAGCTGGAGAAGAGGGAAACATTCTCCCCTGAGACCTCCAGAGGAAGATGGCCCTGCTGACACCCTGATCTTAGCCCAGTGGCACCCATGTTGGACTTCTAACCTACAGAGCTGCACCTTAACACATTTGTGTTGTTTTAAGCCTCCAAGTTTGTAGCCATTTGTTACAATGGCAATAAAGAAAACTAATAAAGGGAAGTGTCCGGTTTTACCCTTGAGCCTTCCCAGGCTCCCCTCTCAGCTCCCCAGGAAGCATTCATTAGTTGATTCTGCCAGGATTGGCCTGGTGGCGCAGAGGAAAACTGGCTTGGGCAGTCAAGAGAGGGGACATGGTGGCCCTGGGTCAAATTGTGATGTGGGTGAGTAAGAGTTATACGTCTTTCCCCTCCTGCCATCCAGGTTCTACCAGGTAGCCACCTACCCAAATGCTTCCTGTTCCTGAGAGTCCAGCCAGGTGGGCAGAGCCAGCCAGCATCACTAACCCCTTTTACAGAGGTGGAAACCAAAGCTCAGGGCATGGACAGTAATCTGCTTGGCCTGAAAATGTCAAGACATGCAGACTCTGGGCCCTCCTCCCTACTCAGGATGCTCACCTAGCCATTGTCACCCCTGCCTTCCTCTCTCTCCCACAACACAGCCCTGGGGGTGGGGTGCAGCTCTGCCAAGCCCTGAGCCCTGCCTCTGAGCCATGGCCCCAGGTGCTTGTCTGGCTCTGCTGCTGACTTACTACGCGGCCACAGTCCCTTTCTGAGCTGCCTTACCTGTAAAATGGGAGTTAAGTGAGCCCCATACAAGATAAGGGACTTGCATGTGTTTTGTTGATGTAAACACATAGCTTTGGTGACAGTTTCAGTTTCATGGACACAATGTAACAGAAGCTTTGGGGGACAGGGGTTGGCCTTGCAACCTGACCTGGAATTACTCTAATGATGAAGGCCCCTGAACCTGCAGGAATGTGGCTGAGGTGCAGCCCCCAACCCTCCGGCTCATCCACTGAGAGGCCGCCATTGGGGAAAGGGGGTCTGGAAGAGGCAGAAGCTCCATTCCGAGTTGATGACAAAACAGAAAGTTGCAGAGATGGAAGCTTGGAGTAACAGAGACACTCACCCAAGGCCACAGAAAGCCAGAAACCAACTCCAGAGCTCCTTTTCCCCCAGAGATCTTTGGAGAGTTTCTGGGGGTGCGATTGGGAAGCACTGCAAAAGTATTGGGGAGCAGTGAGGGATGGGTAGAGAGCAGCCTATTTGGCCACGCCAGCCTGGCCCAAGCTTCTGCTCCCCTTGTTCAGGACTGGCGATCTGTCTAGCCCTGCTGCCAGGCCAGGCTCCCAGCCAGGGCCCACAGCCAGAGGAGCTGCCATCTGCACTCTGGGAACTGTTTTAAGCCCACTGGGACTGTTTTAAGCACACCTGGATGTGACAAGTTTCCATTTAGTGCTGGGTCCCCTTGTTGCTCTATATACTATCGCCATCAGCCAGAGCAAAGGCCTTCCATACACCCACATCCAAGGCGTGATTTGTGCCTGGCAGTGGGTTCTGCGCTTTGTAAGCACTCAGATAGGCTGTTTGCTCTTCCCATTCACAGATGAAGTTATATCACTTGGCTGGGCCCAAGGGAGCCCGGGGAGCCTGCTGCCAGCTCCTCCTGGGTCTGCTTTGTGTACACGCCCAGCTGCCAACGGAGCCCTGCAATTAAGGAGTATTTATAAACCAGAATTTCATTTACTAAAATTGTTTTTTGTTTTGTTTTGGATAATCCTCACCTGGGGATATATATACATATTTTTTATCCTCACCCAAGGACATTTTTGCATTTATCTTCAGATAGAGTAGTGGGGAGAGAGGGGGAAGAGAGAGAGAGAAACATCAATGTGAAAGGGACACATCGACTGGTTGCCACCCACACAACCCCAGCCAGGGCCGGGGACAAACTGCAACCAAGGTACATGCCCTTAGTGGGAACCGAACTCGGGACTCTCTGGTCCGCGGGCCAATGCTCCAACTGCTGAGCCAAACCGGTCAGGGCTTCCACTGATTTTTAGAGAGTGGAAGGGATGGAGGGAGGGGGAGAGAGAGAGAAACATCAGTGTGAGAGAGACACATCAATTGGTTGCCTCCTGCATGCCCCTCGACTGGGGCTGGAATTCAAACTACAATCCAGGTAACTCAGGTGCATGCCCTTGACTGAGAATCGAACCTGTGACTCTTTGGTGTGCAGGTCGACACTCCAAGCACTGAGCCACCCCGGCCAGGGCCTAACATTTTATTTACATAACCGTTCAGGCTGTGTGTAAGGGCCTGAGTGTAGGCAGGGAGGCTGGGATCTTGAGCCAGCAGACGGCTTGGGTTCCTGCACTTCTGACCCAATTGACACTCAGGCCAAGTGCCCCACCCACTCCCCCCACCCATCTGCACTCCCACGCTCAGGGTCTGATGTCTCAGCCAAGGCCTAGGCTGTTCCTGCTGGAAGGGTTCCTGAACACCTGGTGGCTGAGGGGACAGGACCCTGCAGGACATTTGGGAGAAGTTAGACGCAAGGAAGTCTGCTGTGGAGAAGAGCCCTGAATGGGGTATTCAACTTCCTTCTCCTCACCCTGGAGTCTCCCCGTCCCAGGCCCTGTAATCACCACCCGGGGACTGACTCAGCCCTTCCTTCCCCTCCCAGCCTCTTCTTCCTGGAAATCATCCACATCAGCGGCCCAGCCCCCTGTGGGCCCAGAGGAAGAAGGTCCAAAGCCCCTCCTCCAAGGTTGGCTGGGGATAATGAAGTACTGGCAGGAAGGATCTCCCAGGCGGGAGCCAGCTGTCTATGGTCCCACCTCCCCAGAACCTAGGGCCCTGGGAGGCAGGTGGCATGATGGGGGCCAGGAATTGGGGCAGGTCTGGGAGCAGAGGGTCACAGGGGAAGGATGGTGATAATCTTGGGGGTATTTAGGAGGGTAGTGAGAGGAGATGAGGTCTCTAGAGAAGTCTCAACTGTCCCCCTCCCCACCCCCAACCCCACAATCCCCAGAAATCCTCTTCCAGCCTGAGCTCAGCCTGCAAGGCTCTGTGACCTGAGCTAACCCCAGGTCTGGGTTACATGGGTTACATTTTTCCTTGATTGTTTCTTGTTTCCTTCCTCCCCTGGGCTCCTGCCAACTCCAGCCCTGCCCTCCTTGCTCTTCGCCTCCCCTCAAAGAATCTGATCTATCGGAGGCTGGGATTCGAGATGAACGTCCTCTTGGAGCCTTGGACCCCCTCCTTGGGAGTTAGGTGGCCTTGCTGGGGGATTTTCCTTTGGGTAGATTTTGGCCTCAGCCCCAAGGCCATGGGAATTTCCAGAGTGGTGACAGCCCGGTTCTGGCAAGGACTGGCCCAGACACTTCCTCCCA